GAATTTAATGATATCAACAAGATTATTATTAATTGGATAAATATAATTCTAATCAAAGCTTGCAAAAGATTTATTTCAATCATTGTTATGTAAATTTTGATCTGCAATTTTGCTAATAAACTTGAAGCAGTGATTTACAGAATGTATATCAAAGCTTTTCGAGTATTATCAGCGTGACATTGATGATATGTATTAATATGACTTATTCTGCATTCCATTAACTGGAAATATATCTGCGACACATTCGCCATTTACTTCATGCAAGTGGACATAAACATTGTAATAGTTGACTAATGCATCCAGTGTGAAAAACCATGGTGCCATTGGATCACCGTATTCTACCTTAAGTAACTTTGAAATTTTATAATTAGAAAAATAAATTCGATGTAGCACTGATCAATAAATGAATTAATGACTTTTTCAAAAGACTGAAAAAGATGAAAAACTTCAAGTGACAATTATATTAAATAGATGAAAATTTTAGTTCCTTACAACCTTTGTTTTTTTTTTATCGTTTTAAACTTCTTTCAAAACTATCACCTAAACCAATATATTTTTTTTTAATTTTACAAAGTTGATAAAGAATTTATGATTTCAAGATTTTTCACTGGAAACGACTAACTCGAAGATTATTTAGCATTTCAGGTTTTGATCTTGTCTTCGAGTAATCCGCATGTTGCTTTCGTTGTTTGATTGGATAATGACTAGAAGAACTTTTAGTAACTCGAACTAAGCATTATGTAAAACTTTGTAAGGAATCTTTAGATAAATAAATACTGTTCTCTATGTATAAATAAGTTTAGGACGAATCTCCTAGATATGGTGTTTCTGGTTGCATTGTTCTCCCAGATATGGTGTTTCTGGTTGCATTGTTCTCCCAGATATGGTGTTTCTGGTTGCATTGTTCTCCTAGATATGGTGTTTCTGATTGCATTGTTCTCCTAGATAAGGTGTTTCTGGTTGCATCATTTTGGTTGCATCATTCTTATATCTAATTTGCTCATTTTTATATGAAAGTAATATAAAGCGAACTATACGATGCCAGAACCATTGCGATAAATAATATAAAGACTAAGTGATGGCAATACATTGTTTAATGATTCCACTTTTGGCATCTGAAAGAAATTATACATAAATAAATTAGTCTAATTAGTGAGAGCTTAATTACTCACAACGTAATTATTAGAGAATGACCATATGGTATAGTTTGAATGAAGCAGGCTTCATAACATATTTCTCTGCTTGCTTTGCAGTTAATACTCCAATGTAAGCTTCTACCGATGGTGGTAATTCCATGGAACCAGGTGTTCGTGCTGTCCACACAGCTTGTTCTTTGGACAATAGTCGAGGTGTGACAGTGGTTCTGCAATATGAATTGAGATGACAGACATATGAGTGAGAATAGAACTGACAAAGACAGTTATGGATGCTGGAATGATTCATGAAAAGTTTACGGTAGCATCATTTCATATTCATCACAGCTTTTCTTTGAAGTGGTCAACTTGTTCACTTGACCAATGGATGATGGTACATCTAAGGTCTTCGACAAACATAAACGTTCTACCCTTCGTCCAGTATGCTGCAATAATAATTTATAAATAAAATTATATAAAAAAGTTTGTTGTCTAGAAGAGATGTCATTCGTTGATAGACTGTACTATGATCTTTTTTCAAAATGTAAAATTTCTTTAATTAAAATTCAAAGACTAATATTACGTTAAGAATGTGAAAATTTAAAAAAAGTTTTAAAATTGGAAATTTTGAAAAATTGATAGAATTAAACATTTTGAAAAATTCTCGCATAATTTAAAAAGACAAAAAGAGTGATAAAATCCTTCTTTAGCGAGAATATACGGTAGTCTCACGTCTTCAATTTCAGAAATACGTGTATTGGATTTAGGACTAAGCGTAGAGGATGATAAATGTGGTGCACGAAAATTCCATGTACGTATTGGAACATCCAATGCTACAAAACGATATTTTTTGGAAAATATGACATAAATGATAAATGTATATAAATTTCAGATTTTTATATATCTTTTCAAATCTTTTCTTAATAACTTCATGAGTCTCTTTTTTTTTTGTTTTTCTTTTTTTTTTTGAAAATGTTTGAGAAGCTAAAACCAAAAAAAAAAAAGACTAACTCATTAACTACATGTTTTAGTGAAAATTTAATTTCTCCACTTTTATGTATCATCAGAAATTTATTCTACCTTATGAATACGTAAAAAAAATTTTAGCAATTTCAATTCTGATGATATTAGCAATGCATTCAAGATTATCACGAATATTAACTTCTTGCTGATAACAAATCAATTTCTGATAAACGGCAAATACCTTCACGTTCAACCTTTTTGTTTAGATTGTATGAGATATCATCATATTGGCTTACATGTGACTCCGATTTCTCAAAAACACTTTCGTAATTAGATCCTATCAAATTGTAAGAACCTGATGAAAGATTACGATTCGTTTCTTCCCCTTTTTCCTAAACTCTTTCTTTTATATTAACTTTTTTAACTAAACTTAAAAAAACAAAAAAGTAATCACTTGAGAAAAATTACTATAAATGTGAAGAAAACTTTACAGCAGTTTGATAATAGCTGTTTCGGAGTGTCAAATTCATAATTTCAAATGAAAGAGTATAGATGTCATGTCTAAAAATGTTGTCTATGTAACCATAATACAAGCAACGAACATTGATAACGTTTAAGTCTTTTTTTTTTAAATTGATAACATTTCAACAAAGTATAATACCCGTGATAACTTAGATGCAATAATGCATGGTCGACCATGTACACAACATTCCAATTCTTGTCTTAATTCTTTCTTTGAATCACCAAATTCTGATGTTGATTGCATCGGTGAGAGCTGCTGATCATCCATGGGACTACTCATTACTGCAAGTGAAGCAAATTTGCATGATTAGCAAAAATAAATGAACAATTTAAGATTGGTATATTCGTGCAAAAAACTGATAAGAATAAATGATATTAGGTCAAGTAAAATTCAAATAAGTAAATGTTAAGTAATCCTTAGGAAGTAACACTAGCAAATTTAGGTTAATATTGAATGATGTGAAGCGAGATTAATAGAGATAGTTACTTATAATGCTTCTTCTGATATGTAGCTGTTAAGAAAGGTCTTTAAGTAAATAATATTAAGTAACAATTAAATATAACCGTAAAGTCTTGACTAAAGAAAACAATGAAGCCATAGCTAACCTTGCTACATTTTATAAATGCATCGCTTCAAAAATATAGGCAATTTACATACTTTACACTGCTGTAATGTAATCAAATCAAACGATGTGTTATAATGCTAATAATATATAACATTGATCGAGAGTAAATAGTAACATAAACCGCTAATGGTTAATTTAATTGGAACAATCATTAGCATTTCTCTTCGTTGATTTTACTTCGTGGTTTTGCGGGCAGATGTATATTGGAATAACACTTTGTAGAAACTTTATATACTCTTGAAGATTTTAAATGACACTTTGTAGAAACTTTATATACTCTTGAAGATTTTAAATGACACTTTGTAGAAACTTTATATACTCTTGAAGATTTTAAATGACACTTTGTAGAAACTTTATATACTCTTGAAGATTTTAAATGACACTTTGTAGAAACTTTATATACTCTTGAAGATTTTAAATGACACTTTGTAGAAACTTTATATACTCTTGAAGATTTTAAATGACACTTTGTAGAAACTTTAAATCTAACAAAAAAATCACTTTAAAATGTTGAAACTAAAATATTATTTCGAAATCGATTTATTGATATGCAACACTTCAATGCAATGCAAAAAAAAAAAAAAGAAGCCCTAATAATTTCCAAATCAAATAGTTCGTATTTGTGAAGGCATTTAAATTTAGTTATGATGTCCATACATACACATACATACATAGAGAGAGACAGAAAAATGAATAAATAAATAAATAAATGAACTGCAAATAATGTACCATGAATTTTCGAAAAAAAAAAATTTTAAAGCTTTTTAAGAAAAAATAATTAATTAAAGAAAACAAAACTTACAAAAACTTATTTTAAGAAACAAGCTTAGAACTTCATCGTTCCTAATTAAAAATAACATACACAATGGACAAGTAGCATAAGCATTTTGAAACACCGAGAAGTTAACAATAAATAGCCAATAAATCACTTATATATGTTCGCCCGATTTTTAGATTTAAGAAAAGTTTTGAATATTGAGCTAACAATAATCATATGTAGTATAAAACCGTAGACAAAAAAAAATTTGTTCGAGCATATAAAATCTTCCGTAAAAAAAAAAAAAAGAAACTGCCAACAGCTAATTTGTGCAAAGAGAAAATTACAGTTTGAATAGAAAGACAAAAAAATGAAAAAGATCTCGTATTCATTTGCAATCCAGAGATTTAATAATATACCCACTACGAATGAATAATAAACTAAGAAAGAAGTGGAAGGAAAGATGATGATTTATACACTAAAATATATAAGGAGAATATACAGGCAGCAGCAAAATATACATGCAATAAATTAAATTGATGAAAAATGAAGATATAAAATCACAGTGAGATTCTCTAAGGGAGATACAGATGATGAAAGAAAAGACATAGAAAGTTACTAATGCCATAATAACTAAATTAAAAGTCTAACCAAGTGAATCAGTACTGTATCAAGATCATCTTATGAATCTTTTTAAATAAGTCGTATATATGTATATATATTAATTCCTTTCAAAAATCATTTAATTTTAAAATAAATTGTTAGCATTAATAATATCTCCCTATTTAATAGTATATTCAAATAACCACCTTCTTAAGTTATAAAAAAAGAAAAATTACATCCCCTTCTCTGCAATTTTATAAAGTTATAACCAGTGACCATTCTAAATTATTAAAATTATTACTCCATCCTCGGCTTAAAATAGATGCATTACTGAAATTTACAAATATAAATTTGCTTTAAGGTACATGATGAATCTTTATTTCACTTCACCATTAACTATTTCTGGTGCTGTTTCAGCACATTCACTTCTGCTTCTTCATTAACTTGATTCAATTCTGAATTCTCAATGACCGCTTCTGTTGGCAATGGATCGTCACGCATTTGGGATGAGAAAAATAATAATGTGCAAATTAGGAACACCATGGCAATTGTCTGAAATATATATATCTTTCTGTAAATTTCAATTTTAAAAATGCTTTTATTACATTAAAATACATATCGGAAAACAAAATCCGCTATAAATTCGAAATATATAGTCCATTAATTGTGTTACTGTAACGCTGTTCAAGTTCAAAGCAAAATTATTCCGTAAAGAAAACTTGCCTGACCAATCACACTGAAAGCAAGAAAAAGATCGGCCAAAAGTTTATTCTGATATAGCATGCAGCTTCCTTGCTGAAAATTGAGCAAGTAAAAAACCAAATCTATGCAAAATTAAAGAAAAAAAAACACACACACACACACACAACACAGGAATATGAGTAGCGTACTTTTCCGGAGCAAACATCTAAATTGTAACGAATGCACGACACATCAAACATCCATCCAAAAAGAACTGGTGCAGGAATGGTGCCAATAACTCTCACCAAAATCCACTGAATTCCAAGCGCAAATGAACGCTCAGCATAATCAACTGTTCTAAAAAGAATTAGTTTATTCTGGAATTTTTATACATTGTAATGTACATAATATACAGTTGGTGAAAAAAGTTATTTAAACTGCTTACCAATTTTTAAACTAACTATTAATTTCTAATGAATTAAGAAAACTGAAATAAGTTTCGGAATATCTTTCAAAATTTCTAATTTAGTTTTAAACTAACAATACCTTAACACTACTGAAATTAATGGAACTCCAACAGCAAATGCAAAAAAACAGAACGGAGCAAATAGAGCAAGAAATGCAAAAAGTCCTCTACACTTTGATTCACACAATCCATTCTTAACAGTCCGATATCCAAATCTAGTATTTTCAGGCACACATGAACAGTTGTAATACATCTAAAATTAATATCAAAATTAAATCTTGGAAGAAATTGCATTAGAATTTTGTCTGTTTGAAGCAATCACTGTTATCCTATTTTACAACAGTGATTTAGTCCTTGGTTTTCATAATAAAGAAGACTGAAAATCTTTGTTATAGAATCCTAGTATATTTTCAGTTAGAAAACAAACAAAATTTTATGAACAACCTTTCTGAGCGGTTCATAATTTTGCCGACAACCGGCGAAACATGGCGAATAGAAAGAGATTTGCTTTTCATTATAAAACTCAGCACATACTGGATGATATTCACTTGGAACACAGTCACAATGACGGTTACAGGTGGATTTTAGAGATGGTAGTATTTCTGTAGCATTATTATTCTGATCTGAATTTGAAGCACTGCAAAACAGATTAAATAAAAGATGAAAAAGCTGCAGAATAATGCTGAAAATTTATGGTGGAAAGAAATTTAAATTAAAATTTCAAACTTTGAAATGTTAGATACAATACAATTTCTCATTCTTAAAATATAAACACAAAATAATGTTTGACTTAAATACATTGTAAAAACTGATCAGGAAAAATCAGAATATCGACGAATCTCAATTAAAAAGAAAATTTCGAAACAGAAACTTACACGTCCATTTCATAATGCTCTTCAATTCCAGCAAGTGGATCGTGATCACAATAAACAAGATACATTGGTGATAAGATAAGCGTACACATTAGTAATGCTATGCAAAATTTCAAAGTTTTAACACAGCTTAAACGAAATCGTTGAACGATGAAACCACTGAACATTGTACCTATTCCAGCCATTGGAACCATTATACAACCTGAAAGCAATTTTTTTTTTTTTTTTTTTTTTGAAACTTTTAGATTTGAACTAGAAGAATAAGCTGAAATTTCAAATCTTTATAAATTAGAACTGAACCAATCAACATATTTGCTTTGCTTGGTGCAACGCTGAACTGTCGTTCAAGATATTTTGACATGAATGTCGATGCACCCGTTATAATAAATCCTGAAATTTTTGGATAGATATATTTGAAAAATCATTGATGCATTACATAAAATCTAGGTCATATTTTTTGATGTTCAACCTGTTCCTTACATTAGGCAATTCAGATATCTTATATCCTATAACAGCATTAGGCATTCAATTTTTAAAAATTATTCCCTTTTTCGTAAGAGATTTTAATTTTTTTACAATACTCTGAAAGAATTCGAAAATTTCATACTACTAATAAACCCTAAAGGAATAAATACCTTTGATGAAACAACTCCAACAATATCAAGACATCCAAAACATTTAAAAATTTTCAAAATTGTGAAGGAATGAAAGGATATTAAGAGCAAAAAACAAAAAATTAAAAAAACTAAAATAAAAATCTTATGCCACGCCTGATTTGCATTTATAAATAAGGATGAAAATATGCATTACATTTGAAGTCATGGATCGCATAATGTTGTTATTTGTCATAACTCTAATTTGCTTGACAGGACTTACCCGAACAGATAAGTGCATTTGAATCATTGAGTTTTACATGTTTAAAAAAATTTTTTTTTTTTTATTGGGGAAAGATAACTTAGTGCAAATGTTTCTGACAGCTGTTAGGTTTTATTGCATAAAAAAAAGTATTTCTTTAAAAATTTCAAATCTTCATATTTCAGAAAAAAATTCTGGCACTAAAAAAACAGAATGGCAAAGAATAATGGGCAACAAAACAGAAGAATCAATTTATAAAGATGATAGGCTGAAATCAATAAACAAAATGCGCCGTTTTCAATGGAGCACCTATCCTCTTATCCATGAAAAGAATGGAATACGAAATAAGAAGCAGAAAATAAAATCTGAACATGATGATCCAAATAATACACAATATGGATTACGCAGTATGTACAAGTACGGAGGTCAAGGAATATTTGGACAAATTACGATAATTGAATAGTCAAGTAATTTTTCATTTCATAATGACTTAGAAAATTATCAAAATTTAACAATCATCAAAAAAAAAAAAAATTATCAAAAAATTTCTTCAAAACATACCATCAACAGCCATGGCAAAAGTTATAAGCATATAACTACCATTAGATATTATTCTATAGATAGCTATTGGTATATGTCGTACGTCAAGCCATATGTGGTACCAGAATGGACCACGATTATTCTGTAGTGCTGGCATTGATTCTCCAATTGTTATAGTTTGAACAGTTGTTGCACCTTTTAAAGATTAATTTTTTATACCAAAATTTTTAATTAAAATCAAAAAATTTAGCTGGAATCCAGAAATTCCGCAACATTATCAAAACTAATAAATAATGAATCAAAATTGATAAACAATGAATTGGTGAGGATTCCCACACATTTTTAAGATTATGAAATTTAAAGAAGATAAGAAATTTTTTATAACTAACTAACTCAGATTAACTTCAGTTTAACATCACAGCTTTTTTCTATGAGGTCTATTCATTATGAAGATGAAGAGGTTATTTCTCAATGTAGTAAAACTTAAAAAAAAATCGGTTTAAAAAATGCAATAGAACTTAAAAAAAAAAACTTGAAAAAATCCAGCAATCAGCGCTGCCTAATGATAGTGAAATAATGATTAGTTCATCAATCTGAAATAACTCTCCACAAAATCCGAAAACACAGATTTTCAGTGTCATTTAGTTGACTGCAAGTACACTATACGACTACTGTACACACAAGAAACTGCTTCACCTTCACTTTCTGCTGGCAAAAGAGGTCCACAAATTGCAGCTGTTTTGCTGGTAGATGGAATACCGCAACATTCTGCACTACGTTTTTTTGTACTGCCTATCGTTTCTTCGTGTAAACGTGTTCTACAAATAAAATCTGAGTGTTAATAATTTTATTCTGTATATCAAATGCTTTTTTTTTACTACCGTTGATTTCTGATTTTCAATCAAATTTTTTATCGAAATTAAATGCAGAAAAAAAGGAAAAAAAGCAAACAAACCGATGCCATTTAAGTGATTCCGGAAGGACTTTCGGCAAGACCAATATGGGAAAAACGGCAATTAAAGCTAAAATACTAGCTATCTGAAAGCCAATCCACCAAGCACCTACCCATTTTGGATCCGTTTCATCGATATTTAAAATCCTTAAAAAAATATTTTACAGATAAAAATACACAAAAGTGTCGAATAAAAGCACATTAAGCATTAGGAGACTAACTTGATATGAAGCTCTGATTGCAAGAAATCTGTGTGATAGCGCAAAAATGAACTAGACATTAGGAAGCCAAAAGCCGGACCAAATATTGCAAAGGCATAGAAAATACCTGAAGTAGCATGATACTTACTAATATATTTTAAAAATAAAGTATAAATTCACGCACTCAGCTAGCAAACACACAGTATACCTATTCATAAAACATGTTATGATTTTGATTGAATATTTTTTTTTAAATGATATTTGGTTAATAACTTTATAAATCACTGCTAAAAAAATTTTTATTTCGTGATGTATAGTATGGTGCAATAAAATCTATTATCTTCCGATGAATTGATAGTCGACAACATTTTTGAAGCTTCTTGTACATTTTTGAATTTAGAACTTTTAGTTTATGGATGTTTTGAAATATTCTTAAATATCAAAAATAAAAAAAAAAAAAACTAAAATGCATAACTACCAAGATAAAGCGAAGAAAGAGTTGGGCCAACATTTTCATCGATATAACTAACACCAAGAGTGAACAGTGGTGTTGCACCAATACCATGAAGAAAGTGACCAAGACAAAATAGAAACACGTATCGGAACGTACCGGGCTAAAAAACTGAAACTGTATATAAACTAATTTTTGAGTAATTTAGAAGCCTAGAATGAAATGCTACCAATCTAAAGTGGAATACCTGATTTTCGGGAGATGGACAGCTTCGTAAAGCTTCAGCACTAGCTGCTGACATTAGTGCATAAAGTGAATTATTTAGTAGAGCATAATTTTTTCTGAGTCCTGAAAAAAAAAATAGTTTCCAAAGGTACATAGTGTTAACTTTATTAATAATAATAATAAGCAGGGCATAAACTTTATTAGTTCCATCTAAATTGTATTTTCAACGACAAATTTCAATCACATTTAAGGAGGTAAATGACTAACTAGTGAGTTATGAATATATGCAATAATTCACATTTATGAGCAAAAGTACGAGTTAATAAGGAATCGTTATGCAAAAATGAAAATATTTACAAATCTCAACTGTTTCAGTGCTTAAAAGCATCAGAAATATTTCGATAGTTACAGCTGCTAATTAACAATTTATTTAAAAATTTTAAAAGGAACGAATCAGCTGCTAATAGCTTTTACTATTTACCTATTCATTCAGTATAGGAGACATTCAACAGGAAATGGTCCAACATAAAATTTTATGTAAAATGAACAATTCAGTCTTTTAAAAAAATAATAATAATAATAACAGTAATAATAAAATAAAGCGATGCTAACCGGAAGATGTATGTGAAGGATGGCATTTACTAAATGTAGGTTCATGAGCATTATGGGTAGAAGTATATGAATCAGAGAAATTGTGTGGCATTGTAAAAATAAAGCTGCCTAATGCCATCAGTAATAATCCCGCTGCAAGCACCATTGGTTTTGAATGACGTCCACCAAAGTAAGAAACAGGTATACACAAAAGTACATAGCCAAAATCGTAAAACTATAAAGAAGAAGTTTTTTAATGCATTAAATTGCATCAAATTTATGAAATTTATTAGCACATTATTTTCATTGAAGTTTTACAATTTTAATGAAAGGAAAAGAGAGGCATTAAGAACAACTTGCTGACAAATTTCTACCTGCATGATACGACCTATAGTTGATGAGTTGAACTGAAATCTTCGTTCTATAGAAGTTATTGCCGAAGGGACCAAACCATTTACAAGCAATCCCTGTACTGTACAAAACCAACATAACCACAACAACATCCAATTTCTTTTACCAAACCGCTGCAACCATTTAGGTCTAAAATACTTGATTTTAGTGATGAAATTGACAAAATTTCAAGCAGTTTATTAGCCACTGTGTTATCCTACCACAATTAATTGAATCAAGCAGTGGAATCGAAAGATATATATATATATATATATATATATATATATATATATATATATATATATATATATACGACAAATAGAGCTTTGTTACTAACACAATCACAGGAGTTCTAACAATATCAAAGATAAAGAACAATCCAGTTTACTGAATGCTAGAAACTAGATGAAAAAACAGATTAAAATATCTACAGATTACTACATTAAGTAAAGAACAAATCCATAAATGATATCAAATTTATTTTTTGAATCAAAGCAGGGAAAAGATTACGACATTATTTAATTATTATAATATAAAACTTAAAAATATATAATAGAAGGGAGAAACAAAAATTTTAACCTCCAATTCCGTATCCCAACCAAGGATTCTGTTGCCATAACATTGATCTCTTTTTCGATAGCCTGAATTTGTTGTTGCTTTTGCCACACACATACTGTTGACCAAGGCTTTTCTCGTTTTTGCATTGGCCATGGTGGACCCGACGCAAAACCATTATTATAATTTCTAAAGTAGAAAGTCGAATAATTCCTACAACTAAAGCACATAATTTTGTACAGAATTTCAGGGTATTTCGTTCAAAGCTAGTGATAATATGCAAGAAATGATTGCTAGAAAAGTAAAACATTTATTTGAAGAACTATCTCGAATAAATAAAAACTATGGAATTATTTGGCCTAAGCTGACCTATAATGTCCAGCGGGTCTTTTTTTGGACTCTTCTGACTTAGATAATTGAGATTTGTCATTAAAACCACCAGATCCTGGTGATTCTGATCTTTCGGAATTATTGCCAATAGCTGTAATAAAGAATTGATTTTGTATTGAAAATCATTCAAAATAAAATAATGTGCAATTTTTTTGTGATGAATAATTATTGAAGGGAAGATGAATCATGCAATCAATAACCATAGCCGATGCAACAGACGAAGTTAATAAAAAGAAGTACCATTACGGGAAAAGTGATACTCTCGAGAAGATGATGGCTTCTCGAGATCTCCTGGAGCCGAGCGGGTTTCAGCATTCCTTACATTATCGTCTACGTGTTTGCACTCAATGTGCAGCATATTGTTAACTGTACCATCATTTACTGCTTGCATCTAATATGTTAGCCAAATGTCACCGAAGTCAATTCACACGTTGCCTCCGGCGCAAATGACCTAATAAAGTGGGAATACAGAGAAGGCGTACAAAAAAGCATGCAGACGTACATTATTATATTCATATGTCAAATGAAAAAATACTATCAATAAAAGCAAAGCTACATTTCATCAGCACACACACACATACACACACACACATACACATACACATACACACACATACAGACATACACATACAGACAGACAAATCAATTGTATAAAGATTAGCTAAGTGTCTGTGTGAGTGTCATATGTGGTGCACCACTCGCCACTGATATAATGATTGAGGGAAGAGAAGAGAGGGAGAGAGACAGATGAAGGAGTGAGAAAGGTTGGTGAGACGGACGGACGGACAATTCATACTTTTCCGGATTGCTGAAGCAGGAACCGGATATGTGAGCATGCATGCTAGACGCTGGGATAGGAAAGAATCATACAGGTGAGCGTATTCAGGCAAACACCTCTCCATCAGTCAGAACTGTCATCTTCACTCCGAACTATCACTTCTCCACTCATCCGGAACTATCACTTCTCCACTCATCCGGAACTATCACTTCTCCACTCATCCGGAACTATCACTTCTCCACTCATCCGGAACTATCACTTCTCCACTCATCCGGAACTATCACTTCTCCACTCATCCGGAGCTATCACTTCTCCACTCATCCGGAACTATCACTTCTCCACTCATCCGGAACTATCACTTCTCCACTCATCCGGAACTATCACTTCTCCACTCATCCGAAATTATCACTTCTCCACTCAACCGGAACTATCACCTCTCCATTCATCCGGAACTGTCACTTCCCCACTCATCCGGAACTATCACTTCTTTAACCACCCGGAAATCTCCTCACTCACAATAATGCGTAATAGTGAAACTCTGTTTAACATTTTCTTCTATGAAATTTATGAAAACTTTTAGGCCCGCAGGAAAGCTAGGAACTAAGTAAACATGAAGAAAGGTTTGCTACTTAGAACTAAAGCTTGTTACTTCTAGATAAATCTCTATTCTTCCGGTAAGTTATAACTATTTAAAGTAATATTCTGACTATAAATTAAGAATCGAATCAAAGAAGTATCCGGAATTAAATTCCTGTCCCATTCTCTTCCCCATTGTTTTATCATCCTGAAATTGACAAGTTTTAGAAGAGTTTTTTCGAGAGTTATTAGATATGTCTTAATTGGATCCGGAAATTGACGACAATTTGTCTTTCAGAATATAATCCTGTTTTCTCCGAAATTGTGCGTCTTAACTTCAGTGAATTGATACTTGATGAGTTTGAGAGTATCGGATATAACGGATCAATTTTTTTTATTGATTTTAATTAATTAACTTTAATTTTTTATTGATTTTAATCAATATCATTTAAAAAAAATTTTAGAAGAACTGAAATTTCAATTCATAAATTTATGCAATGCTAAACACATTTTTAATTATCAATTAATTTTATATCTCTATAGTAATGTCATCATAGAATACTAAATCTTAAAATCTTTCATATATTTAATCATTTTATTAATTAATATCATTAAAAAAAATCAGATCATCTAATTTAAAAAAGCACAAAAATGTTTCAAATATACGGAAGTTTCTTTCAATTTTATTTTATTTGTTTTTTTTTTTTTTTTTTAAATTTAGAGGAATATAAAAATTATGTAATACATAAACATATGAACTTATTTGATTGACAACTTTGTAATCACTCGACAAAATAACATTTCAACCAGTTTAACTGATAATTTATTACTTGGACAGCTGTTTTAGCTTAAGAAATGAATTATAATGAAGAGAAGAAAATTGAAGCTTAAACAACATTTGTATCATCTGTATTTAATGATTTATGTGTACTTCTTAAAATAATTACAAAGTTCATTTGTTGAAAAATGAAAGTGAATTTTGAAATGAAAGAAAAATGAATTTTAAAAGTGCAAAAATAAATTTTTGAATAAATTCAAATATCATTCATTTTCATTTCATGTTGCTATGCAAATTGATATTTAAACTAAAAATTTTTGCATCATTCAAGCTTTGTATTAGATTTTCAAAGATTTTTAAAAAGAAATAATAACTTTGGGAATATGAATTTATTTATTTACAAATAAAAAATGCAAATGATATTGAAGCTCTCTAGAAAAGCCCCGAAAAATGACTGATGACAAATACTCCCACAAATAGAAAAATTAACAAATGGCGCAAAAGTATTATTTTATATTTGTGCATTCAATTGAAGTAATACTAACAAATTTCATTTTTGTATGAATAAAGCGACAAAAATAAATGATACAAAAAATTTTTAAATATGAAAATGAATCTATTTGAGTGAGAAAGAAAAATGCTATCAAATGATTGCACTTTTGCTCTGTTTACAATGGAAAAAAAAATCACAATCGAAAAAGATTGCTAAATGATAATGATATGAGTATTATTATCATCATCATGATAACTATTTTGATGATACTTTGATAAATGTGAAAAAAAAAATGTTACTAATACTTATTAGTAAAATTAGTGTTCAAAAAAATCGCTGCTAATCTGAAGAGTAAATTATAACTTTAAGTGATATTTAAATGGAAGATTAAAATTAAGTGGAAAATTTTGAAAATAAATAAACCTAAAATAGGAATATACCTTTCTGATACTTTAATTGCTGTAAGTTATTCAAATGAAAAAATACGTAATAAAATATCTAATGAAAGTGCAAAGTAAATTTTTAAAGTAAAATCAAATAAATTCTATAAATAGTGCAAAAATTTCCATTAAAACATCCATTGCTATAATTTTTAAAATGATACTGGCAAATTTAATTAATCGATTGTCATCAAAATTTCAACTTTTCATAGAAATAAAGTAATTTTAAAATAATAGCAAAAATGTATAGTTGAGAAGAACTTTGATAAGAAATTTAATAGTTGAGTGGAGATGATAAATCATGCATAGAAATGATAAATGTTAACCTCTTGATAAGAATGAAATGTCAACACATCTTCCTATTTCATTGTTAGGAATTTTTTTTAACCGGAAGAAATGAAAATTAGGAAAATTACTTATCAATGCCAGAAATTGATAAGAAAAACACTAGCGATAATTAATTATCTTATACATTTATACTACTTATACTTTATAAAATTTGTTGGAATAAAGATTTTGATAAGTTAAAATGTGATAAAGCATTTTAAATTATATGATAAATGATTTTCTTTCAAAATGCTTTATATCATACAACGAGAATTATGTGACCACTGACCATTTCATCTTTCTTTTTAAACAGGAAGAGAATAATACAATGAAATGAAAGAGAATAGAGTTGATAAATTAATGTGAAAATGTATAAAGTAATAATTTAATTTGTCAATGAAATATCTTCCCTAAGATAAGATAAGATAAGATAAGATAATACAAAAGATAATATTAAGATTATCAATGAGTAACAATGCAAAAGTTATGTTTGAATTAGTTCTATCAGAATAAAATAATCTGTTGCAATGATATTTTCATAAATGGGTTAAAATGATCAAAACTGTTATTGTTGATGATCAATGATTGACAATCAATGATTCATCATGATGAGTAATCCTGTTATCATGATAAGCTTTTCTAGTTTTAATTCCATTTTATCATTAAATGAAGTTAGTTGTGAAGCAAAATAATAGAAATTCATTTCACATAGATTATTGCTTTTCTATAATTCTTGTTTAGTTCATACCATGCGATTTTGTCATACGTTTATTCATGTGACTTTTGCGCATTCTAATCAAATGAGTTATAATACAATTAATTATGGAATTTATTGAATGAAAAATATTGAACGTAATTTAAATATATTTATTTATGAACAATTATGCAAAAAAAAAAAAAAAAAAAAAAAAGAACCTTTTATTTTGATTCCTAATAAAAATGATGAAAAATGATTTTAATTTTAAACAATAAAAATCAAAATAGTAAATTCTAAATATATTTTTTTTTAGACTTTTTAAATTAACACTTACTTAATTAAGACTCATTCTTGCTATTCCATTTATTTGCTATAGGTAAACAAAAAGCTCATCTTTTTTTATTATCGAAAAATCTGTTTATTTATTTCTGATCAGATAAACAGAAAGCAATTTGCATTTTTGTCCCTCTCTCTCTCTCTCTCTCTCTCTCTCTCATCTCTACTAATTGTAACAGTAATTTTTATTGTAACAATAAAGTGGAAAAAAAAAGCAATGAATGACATTAAAAAAATATATTAAATGAGTAATTAAATTATGAATCTACTAATTTTTCTGAATGTAATTACTTATCTTTTATTTTTTTAATTAATAATTAATTTTTTCATAATTCGATTAATTCTAATTAATAATTAATTCATCTTATATAATTCTATAATTTATATTAATATTTTTTTTTCGATGTATTTTATATAGATCAAATTAAATAGGTAATTACAAAAAATATATAGTTATTAAAGTATTTATATGTTCGATAAGAAAAATAATGTCAACCCCGATGACAATAATAGCTTAACGACTTTTTACTTTTTGTGATAATTTCAAAATTTATCATTTAAATAATGATTTTAATAAAAAAAAAAACAACGATTTTTATTCGATTTTCTTTTGTTTTTATTCCTAAAAGAACTTTCCTAAAGTTTGTTAAAGTCTTTTTTTAAACAATTTAACTATTATTATAAAATTATATATGAATTATATCATCTACAGTCAGACTTTAAAGGCATTTGTGTTAGCTTAATTCTAAAAGTAAAATTAAAAAAAAAAAATGTAAAATCTAAAAAGTAAAATTGTTTAAGAGTACTCCCACATTCTTTTGATCAATTTCGATATATGGAAAATTTTAATCAATAAACAAGTAGGCCGCAACTTTATTTACTTAAACTTTTATTTACCCAAATTCCTTCTCACGTATTCGAAAATAAAAAATTTTCTTCACAAAAAAATTTCATTTTATGAACATTTTTTAAAAAAAAAAAAGAAAAAATTTCATAAATATTGGGAAAAATTTTAAAAAAAAAGCAATTTGAAAAAGTTTTATATCTTTAAAAATTCTAACATACTAATAAAAATAATAATTTAAACAATTTTATTTTAATGTGACACATATAAATGCGCATTTGTCTTTTGCTTTAGCAAATTAATTTGTTTCCATTTTTATATTTTTCATTTCTCATTTCATGGAAGTATAAAAGTTGATGGGATGAGTTGAGTGAAATTAAATTCTCACATTTTATTCATTAACAGCATTTATGTTATACAATTTGAATATTTAAATAAGTTAAGTAGAATAGAAAGAAATAGAATGAATGTATGATAAAATTAACCTATTTATTAATATAAATATCATTTGAGAAGATAAATAATTACTGATTAGTTCAATTCATTGCATCAAAACATTATTAATCATTTTTCTTCTTCATTTTTTACTAAAAAAAATGCAATCTGTTTGCTTTTCGCTTTTTTCATTTATAAATTGTTATTCAAAGGAATATTTAAAATTTAAAAAATTTTAATCATTTCAAATAGCTACAATGGCTTCTATTAATTTTTCACTGATAAACATTTTTTGAGATATTTGTCCTCTACAAATGACATTTCGTCAAGAAAACAAACAAAAATAACAAACGCTTTCATTATTTTTTTAAATGTCAGCAATTTAAATTTTAAGTTAAAATTTTCTTTTCATCAAAATTTCTCCTTTTGATGAATTTTTCTTCTCTTTTTTCTCTTAATTAAAATTTACGTCTAGCAAAAGCTGCAAAAAAAAAAAAACAATTTTTCCTTATTTTATTAGCAAAATTCGACTTTTCTAAAGTCTTTTTTTTTTCTTTAAATTTTCTTTTTTTTACAAGTTGCAACCGATATTCTATTTTATTTGATAATACTTTTGATAAGTTTAACATATACTTCTCACTTTCTCGTCATTTCTATCTGTCATTTAAATGAAAATAACTAATGAACATACCTTGTCTTTCAAACTATTTCATACTTAATTAATGAAGAGAGAGGGAGAGAGAGACAATGAATTACTTAATTAATGAAGAACAACTCTCTAAAATAATATATGAAAAATACGATTCAATTCATATGCTTCACTTTTTATGATAGAGACAAAATGATGATAAAAATGAAAAACTCTCTCTCTCCCTCTCTCTTCCTTCTCTCCCTCTCTCTCTCTATCCCTCTGAGAGATCAACAAAAGAAAAAAATTTCTTCTCAGTGTGTATTCTAGTAATGTTAATCATCAAAAATAGAAGAGATCAACTGAATTTATCATTTTCTTATACAAACTTATGCTAATGGCTATTTTTATTAGATTTATTTCCTCTATATTTTATGCATTGAATTGAATTTAAAATACATCAAATTACTATTATAGCAATAATAGCGATAGATGTAGAAAAGAAGGATGATAACATATCCATGTTACTTCAGTAAAGTTTAATATCATGAAGTTGACAGATAATGGTGACATTTTTGTTTAAACTGAATAAGTAAGCTATGTGAGTTTATATAATTTATTTTTTGCTAAAATATTATAGAAGATAATCTTTTCAGATTCATTCATCTCTTTGTTTTTTTTTTTTTTTCATTTCTTATTAATTTAAAACGAATCAATCATTTTTAATAGAATCTTTTTTTTTATGTATAATATAATTTGATTTAAATTGATTGATTGATTAATTGACTGACCGATTGATTGATTGATTGATTGATTGAATATACTATTATGAGTGATAAAAAGAATTTGTCATTTTTATCTTTAACAAATGTTACGAAATTTGATAAACAAAGAAACGTTCTAGAACAAAAGAAATCAATCAAAATGAAAAGATCATTCTTTCATTCATTTTTTCTTTTTCTTTGTTATACTTACTGCTAATTGAAAGTTAACTTAGTTCGATTTTCACTAATGCAATTTTAATAGTTTTTCAAGATTTAGTAATTTTATTAAAAAAAAAATCAAAGCTTAGTAATTTAATTTTACTGAATTTATAATGAATGAAATTTAATGTTATATGTGAAATTTTTTTTTTCTATTAAAAATAATTCAAATATAAAAATTCATGCAGTGTTATTATGAACCTAAATTTCATTCCTGCTTGACCTTTTCAATTCATTTTCATATAAAAAAAAATTCTCGAAAGTGTCGTTTTGACATTGCTTTAAGATATATCATAGAAATATTCAATCATATAATAAACAACTTTTTTAATCTCTTCTAATCTATCTTTTCAATTTTTTTTTTTTTTTTGAATAATTCAAAAGTTTGAAATAACTTTATATATTACTTAAATTATATTTAATAGGAAGAAAAAAATATATTGGATTATCTTATTATGCAACTAGTTAATATAATTTTGCTAATAATCATATTTTGACATAAAAAAAAAACGAAAATTAAGCAAAGTGGAAATGTTTCCTTGTGATGGAGAAAAAGTTTAAAATAAAATTTTTTTTTTAAAAATATTTCGCATTTAAGGTAGAATATATTGCTAATTTCATTCATTTCTATTTCTTTAGAGAAAGGAAACGAGAAGAAAATAATGAATCTTTTTGCTTTAGTTTAACTTTTCCTAAATTTATTTAACTTTTCTTGCATAATCAAACCAATGTTTTATTTTCTTTTGTATTAAAATTTTAATTTGGAAAAGAAATTACGCAGTGAAATGTAAAATTAGAGAGAAAAATGATAAATTTCTTTGTAGAATAGTTTTTCTATTATAATAAATGTTAAATAAACAAAATGGTTCAGTATGATTTAGCACCTAATATCAAAATGGTACTAATTTTCAGGTTTGGAGTTAAATACAATTAGTAAGTATTTTTTTTTTTTTTAAATAAATACTTCTATATGCGAACTTTGATTAACTTTTTGAAATGAAACAAGAAAATGACGAGAAATGGACTCAAATTGTAGTTCTATAAGAGAGTATATGAATAAATTTCAATCCTTCAATCACATCCTTGATGAGAAATTTTAAAAGAGATTGGAGCATTTGCGCCTTTCATTCATTTTCAAAATTAATATTGCTTTCTCTCTGGTGCACTTCGTTTTTTCTTGTTTACTTTTAGATAGTTTTTTTTTTTCTCCTTTTTTTTAACTCACAAATAGTTATATAAAACTGTAATATTAGATGGAGTAAATTGAAATAAAGTATTACTTAATAGTAACATACTTTATTCTTAATTTAAAAAATTCTTCCATTTTCTTTCTTTTTTTTTTTTTGTTGAGTTCTTCGACTTGAATTAATATCATTTTGTAATTAAATGAGAAAAATTCCCTTGCCATTCGACTGTAATTTAAAAAAATTTGAGCTTTACATCGATTACGGAGGTAAATATAATGAAAAAGAAACCGGAAGTTAGAAAGTGCTACAAGATAACATTTTGTTATTTTTGAAATGGTAATAGCAACTATTTTTGTCATCTTCCGTTTCCTTTTAAATTCACATTGAACTCACAATTTTTTCTTTTTTTTTTTTTTTCATTCATCTCTTACCTCAAATATTAGACCTTTAATTGTTTCCTCTTTAAAATTCTCAAATAAGAATATTTCTTATGTTAAATTTAATCTTTAGTAATTTTTTTTTTCTTTCATGTAATTCTTTGCACCCCATTAAATAACGAAATGTCTAATTTTATGCTATCTAAGTTCAATTTATGCTATTTAAATTCGTCTCCTAGTTCAGTTCCTATTTTAGTTCAGTTCGTATTCTAATTCAGTTCGTCTCCTGGTTTAGTTTGTATTCTAGTTCAGTTCTTCTCCTAGTTCAGTTCGTGTTCTAGTTCAATTCGTATTCCATCCTATCTTTTTAGCATTGAACAAAGAGAAAGAAAGTGATCCGTCTAATATTACTTACAGCTTTCATCCACAATTTTTCCATTAACTTTAAAAAATTTCCCTTTGTTTGAACATATATAATGGAAGGAGTAATTGAACAAATCATAGGATCTAATCAGTTACTTCTAGAAATATCATCACGAGATTCATAGACAATTTTTTAATCAAAAGTTTCTTTACAAGTTATCTAAAAAATTCACGCGACAAATTTTTCAGTTTTTCAATTTTAGTTTTAACTTTTTTTATGTTCGATTTATCGATATGACAATGAATTAATGAAATTATTATTGTGGAAAAATTAGTGAAATCATTTTTAATGTCTTTCTATTAGAATTTTTTCTTTTTTTTTTGCTGGAAAATTCGTTAGTTTGTTGTAGTATCAATACAAATAATTCTATGATTTTTTTTTTTTTTTGTTTCTTTAAATTTAGTAGATATCAAGTTAAACTAGCGATCAAAGTTCGATAGAGTGATTAGACAATGGCAAATCCTTTCGAGAATTTTGATCATTACTTTATCCATTGACAAATTAATCAACTTCGATAGATAGTGCTGATAATCCATGTTCAGCTCTAATCCTTACCATTCTTCTAATTAATATTTTGAAGATATTCTAAAAATGACATCAACAAATAAAACTTTGAATATATAGCATAAAAAAAGTTCATTTAAATTTATTTTTTATCAGATCATATATTTCATTATTTTGATGTGTGTATACTTTTGCTTCTTGCTATTCTTTCAGCCAAGCATAAACACATTTTGTCAAATTTAATTTTCGATATGTAAGTTTGAATCATTCTACTTGATGGAATTCAATTTCATCACTAACTTATTTCCTTTTTAGCTAAAATATCCAAATTTACTCATCAAAAATATAATTTTTTTTTTTTTTTTTTTTTAACAAAACAAATTCGTTCTTTTCATTAAATATTATAACAAAGGCAAATTTTTAGATAAAATTAATTAATTGTCTCATATATATACTAAGAAGGTATGATATGACATAAACAATGATATAATTGTGACAACTTTTAATACATTATCAGTTCTCTTTAGTTTAAATTTAATTTAATTTAGTTTAGTCAAAAATCACTTTTAATTAATTCTTTTTTTTTTCGAACCGCTATTAATTATTTTTTGTGATCAAAGATCATTATCAAGATATCATTCTATTTCTTTAAAGTTCTTTTACGAAGAAAAAAAAAATTTAGTTACTCTAATAAAAATAAAATGATTGAAACTATTAAAATTAAGAATTTATTTCAGAATATATGCCGTTGAAGCGGAAACAATCATCGAAACGAAGAAACTTGCAAATGCTAAATCTTCTTAAGCAATTTTCCCATTATAACTATCATTCAGTTTCATTATCATTTCAAATTTGAGTAATAGCATTTCAATACAATGCTATTTATATTTTGCTACAGCTATGAATGTTACTATTTATATTACTGAACTGAGTAATTTATCAATTTTTTTTTTTTTTGAAATACATTTGATCTGATCTTAAATCTTTTTCTTTTTTTTTAAAGAACTAAAGAATTAGTTCTTTTAAAATTCTCATTCAAATTATTCCAAAAGGAAAAAAAAAAACTATAATTCACTGAAAGCTTTTCCTTTTTTTTGGCATTCAGTGTTCTGTATTGATATTACTGAAATGAATATTACTGGTTTTTTACCTGATGCTAATATTCAAACTATTCGATTATTTCTAACTTTAATTCATTTAATTCTAGTATCAATTGGTAGTATTAATTTACTGGTTATTCTTATTATCATAGTTAAACCATATATGCGTTCAATTACTAATGTCTATATTATTAGCTTATGTTTAGCTGATTTTATTTATTTAACTAATTTAACTCTAGTTGCTATCGTACAGCTTAATAATAAATCATGGATTTTTGGACAATTAATGTGTACTCTTTATCATGGTACTGAAACAACAGGTAAAGTTATTTTTATTTATTATTATTATTTTCATTTTTTAATTTATTCTTTTTTTTAAAAAAAAAATGAATTGCAAAAGGAAATTTGCATTTCTAAAAGTTTAATAATTCTTCTATGAATGTTATGAAAGAAATTTTGTGCTTATCATTATCATTGCATAATTCTGTGATAAAATTAAATGAATAATAAATTTCTTTTTCCAAGTATATATATATATATATTTGTGTGTGTGTGTGTGTACATTATTTTTCAACTAAACATGTTTTCAATTTTAATTTCTATAAATAAATGAAATAAAGAGAAATACAGATGGTTCTAAAGATGTTTATGTATTTAAATGGAAAATATTTTCATATTATGTAAATTATTGAATTAGTACGTAAAGCAAAGAGAATTTTTTGATTTCTTTCGTGATCATAATTCAGTGTTTTTATGATGTAAATTAAATTGCCATGTTTGAAGATGAAGGATTAATCCAATTTTATTTTTTTCATTCGATTTTTGATTGTTTACTTAAAATTAAATCAACAAAATATTAATCTTGAAAAAAAATTTTTTTTTCATCCCCTTTCTCTGTTTTTTTTTTTTTTTTTGAATTTTTTAAGTGACTTTTAAAATCCTTCTAAAAGAAAAAAAAATTTTTTATCATTGGTTGATTGCTGAATTTTACAAGCTAAATCTAATATTTCTCCGAATCTATTCAAATATTAATTTAATTTTCTAATTATTCTAAATTCTAATTAGTACAATCAGTCTTTTAGCGATTCGCTCAAAAAATTTTTTTACCTACAAATTAGTTTACTTTATCTTTTATCTAAGAATGCTAAAATTCATTGTATTTCTTTTCATACTATTTCTATCTATTAAATACAATCTTTTTATTTCAACATTTTCTAAGAAGTGAAAGAGAGAATTTATTTGAAAATTTTCAAAAATTAGATTAAAATTTTACTTTACTAAATTTTTAGTATTTCATTTTCAATTAAAACAAAAAAAATTCGATTTTTTAAATGAACAAATTATTAAGAATTTCATAAACAAGAATTGAAAGCATTTGCTATTTGACTCCCGCTTTTTTTTCCTTCTTTCATTTTTTCGTTTGATTTCGTTTGACATTTTTTTTTTTTTTATTTAATCATATTTTAGTATCACTTATTTCAAATATTTTTATTAGTATGAAACTTTTACTTATTTAATTACTTTTATAATATAACATTTTCAGAATTTTTTTTTCATTTTAAAGGATTCTATTCCCTTTTTTTAGATATAAAATACAATTTTAGGTAAATATGCAAGTGTCATATTTGTGGTATTATTAGCCGCCGATCGTTACTGCGCAATGTGTTGTCCGATGCTATGTGCGCGTTATCGTAATTATTGCATCGCGGTGTCAACAAGTGTTATCGCTTGGATTGTCGCCTTTTCTGCTGCTCTTCCACTTTATTTATATTCTGAAGTAATCGAACTACAAACATATCGTACGGAAGAATTAAATAGATCTGTATGCATTGCTAAATGGCCAAGTTTAACAAGTGCTCGATGGTTTGTTTATTTGTTTGTTTGTTTTGTTTATTTAATACATAAGATTAAGTCATTTAACTGAAAGTTAATTAGAGAATTTAAAATTAATTCAAAATTTGATAACAATTTTTAATGTCAAATTTTTAGTGAACAATCTAACAAATTAAATTAAGCAAGAAAATAGGATTTTTTTTTTTCAGGTATATTACATTTTCATCAATTTTAATCTATGCTGCACCTTTAGCACTAATGACTTATTTTAATTATAATGTTTTGAAAAAGCTCCGAAAAGCTCTTCGTAACAGTAAACGAATGAAGCTTACGTCAAAATCACGTGCTCCTTATCATCGTGTAACACGTCTGGTGCTATGCGTTGTTATATTTCATGCTGTATGCTGGTGAGTTTATCAGTGATTTAATCAAAATCAAATTTGAAAATATAAGAATTTCTTGATACTCTTAAATCTCAAATCTTTTGATGCTCAAAAGAATTTATATGCAAGAAGCATGCATTTCTGAGTTTATCTATTTGCAAAATTTATCATTGAAGTTTTCTTGTTTGTTTATTACTTACTTATTCTATTCTTATTTGTTTCTTAAGAATAAGTAATTAATTCTGAGGTATTCAAGAAGATCGAATGAAAAAGTGCAATCTTCATTATCCAAGCATCATTAAAATATATACTAGTATTCAGTATGGGTTCTTTCTTTTTTTTTTTTTATTTTGCTTAGTTCTTGTTAATTTTCAATATATTTTTACGGAAGGATTAAATTTGTTCTATTAATTTGAATAGCTGAGCTAATTAATTTCATAGAATATTTCAGTTTGAATATTTTTAGTTTATTTTTCTTTCTCATTAATTTTGCAATCTAAATTTGCTTTTTCTTTTTCTTTTTTTTTTTCACAACTAAATCTCTAATTTTTACTTATCTTTGCTCATTTATCTCTGTTAATAATTTTATTTAAAATAACTTACTGAATTAAAGACATTTAATTTCATTTATAGCACTAGCAATTATTAATTACTATCAAATCATAATATTTATGTTTCTGCATGTAAACTAATTGAATTAAGTGTCCTTTTCATGATATTGAATAAATTTTTAGGTCTCCATTTTGGTTATTTAATTTGCTCAGTTCCGTATTTCAATTCCGGATACATACACGGTTCAATCGTCTTATTGTTAATGTCATCCATCTCTTTCCGTATATCAATTGTGCTCTAAATCCATTATTATATGCAGCAAATGCCGAAAATTTTCGTCGAGCATTCCGATCTCTATTTTCCCTTAATTTCACTAACAGAAAATCGTTATCAACAACAAGTCGTAAAGTTTCTCAAACAATTGTTGTCGAAAGTTTTTTTACGCAAATGTACGATTCCAATGAATTTACATTTCATCAAATATCATGAAACGTGATAGCTTTTAGTGCTACACGTCACAATCTCAATAATCTTACGTTTGTTATATTAAAACGCTTAATACGTTTCACGAAAAAAAAAATCAAAATATTTCCTATAAATTTACATATTTGTAATAAGCAACTATACCTTTATTTATCCCATAAAATTTCAAGTTAAAAAAAAAAAAGAGAGATGTAATAATTAAATTTTCGAATGCATTATATTCAAGAATTAGAATGATATTAAAATGAGAAAATAAAATATAATTTTAAAAAATGAACAAAATTTAATTTTATAGATTTTAGATTAGATCCATATATGGTATCATTACCATTTCTACAACATTTTACTGCAAGAAAACGACGATTTGCTTGGTGTAACGAACGTAACCATAGTATCATAACTCGGCCAGCGATAACATCCACTGATAAGAATGATAAAATTGTCATTGAACTGAATAAATCTTGTCATACACCAAAATTGGTAAATTGATTAAAAAGAATTGATAAAAAATAAAATGATAATTTACACATTCTATTAATTTTAATTTAATTTATGAAATTAATGCTATTACAAAAGTTACAATAACATGTTACAGCAAAATCATGGTACAGTCTGCCGTAATCCATTACAAGAATCATGCTATGATCATATTTTAAATCAAAATTGAAATAATTACTTACTTTTTACTCTATCACAACAACAGTAATTCATGTGACAGAGCATTGTCACATGATGAAATGATTTTGTAAGTCGTTATGATACTATATTGTAAAGAAAGTTCTCATTTTATATTCAAAAATTCAATATTAAATTTTATTTATGATTTTTTGATATCGAATTTTACTTATGATTATTCAATATCAAATTCCATTTATGATTTTCAATATCAAATTTCTAAAATATTTGCTAAAAACATCTTCAACAAAAGTAAAATTTATTCACTTTTTTTTATGTTTTGTCATCAAGATTTCAAAGTACACTGTCAGAAAAAAAAACTGTTTAAAATAATCTTGATGAAAAGTAAAAAAAAAGGAAAAAGAAATGATTACATTATTGATTTCAATTCTTTGTTATGCTTTAGATTTTTTTTTCTTTTAATTTTAAAAATGAAAAAGACTAACGAATCTAATTTACTAGCACTATCAGATGTTTTTTATTTTTATTTTTTTTGTCTTTTTTGGCAATATAATAACTAGTAATTATCTGTTCCAGTTTAAATGTTTAATGATAATTTTCAGGTTAAATAAGGTGACACAGAAGTGACATATATCAGCGCAAAATGATAGAAGCGAAGATGGCATTTATAGCATTTATGTGTCTAATAGTAACATGATAATTTAGTAATTTTAATAGAAAGCTTTCCTAAGATACTATCAAACTGATAATATTGATTATATGGAGTGTAATGTGCTGTGTAAATATATTTTGTAATGAAATTCATTAGTGGAAACAATCAATAATTGACTGATTGAGTGATCGTTTGATCAATACAAATTAAGTTTTCATATTTTCCATTACAGGAGATAATCAAATTATTGAAATTGGCAATTTATCAGTGAAGTGGGGGATTTTGAAAAATTTTTTTTACCCTACGTACACATTTTTGACATCGTATTGTAATCATTTTCATTTATTTAAATGGTTATCTTACCTCTTTATCAAACTTTCTCATTCATTTCAAAATTTGTTTTTGTTTTAAGTTAGAAAGAAATATTACCAAACAGATAGGAAAACTGTAAGAGCTGAAATTTGTCAAATCCTCAATTGGAGAAAAGATTTTTTTTTTTGTTTTGTTTCGATAGTAAATGAGTGATAGTGATGGAGGATAGAATTGAACAGAATGAAATGATATGGTTTTCTTTTTTTTTTTTTAAACAAAAACGATGAATTGCTTAAATCTTTTAAATGTAACTATTGCGATATTCCAGATTTTATTGTAGTTTTTTAAAAGAGATATGTGCTTTTATTTTGAAATTATTAGAATTATATTATAATATTGAAATATAATTCAAAATGAAACGAAATGGTTGAAACAAAGTAGAATAAAATATAATATAACACAAATAATGAGAATCTATGGAATAAGATGATTAGACATTTGATTTTTCTTGATTTTAGAGCATAAATTACAATATATACAAAAGTAAGAATAAAATCATCATAAAATACAACATAATAACCTGACTGACACCGCAATGGTGTAATAACGGTCAACGGTATCGGTGTTTTCTAACGAAACAATGTAATTTTAAATGATTTATTCATGAGATTGTGAGATACCGGGTTTATATAGAGAGAATCAATTAGTATATTTTCAACTTCTCAAAAAATAGAAAAGATACAAACCTACTAATGCAACTAAATTCCAGTTATTACTATGAAAGAAGATAAGTACCAAATTCAAATTATTATTAGTTCCACCTTGTTAAACGACTCAGCCATAATTGTGAATTTGCAAATCTCTCAAACGTAAAATAAATGCAAAAATTTCACTCCTATATAACATAGACTTCTCAAAAAGCAAAAGTTAGAGTTTGTAAACAACAAAAAAATAAGACATATACACCTATATTTAACTATATATTATTGATATTCATCCCTAAATACCCATAAGTTTGAGTTTTTGTGCAATATATACAAACGCTTTAAAATGGATCGAAATGCAAACGAGTCTTTAACTGATACATGATTCTGAAAAAAACAAAGCTCTCACTCGTGAAAATGCACTGAATTCACATCAAATTTTCGAAGTCTTAAAAAATTTTGGAAAAATATATGAATCTGATTTGATAGAAATGATACTTTGCTACCTTAAAACTCTGCAAAATTTCATCTGTCAATGCTTGTCCTTTCCTATGAACCATAAATAAAGGAATATCTTCTGCCAATTTGTCATATTTGTCCGCTTTTTCCACATCTGATGCCTTAGCTGGATTGAAAAATGAAGGATAGTGCAAAATTACAAGAAAGAAAGGAGAAAAAATAAGCACGATCGAAGAATTTGCAAGTAAACTTCTTCCAAATGTTCCTCATCGGTTGTTTTTTGGATATCCAACATACGTTGTTTCCTCTAACGAATAGCATCCACCACTGTTATATCCATTATTTTCGCTGAGTATAAGAAAAACTATGTCTCGATTGAACAGTGAAGCGTCAATTAAAAGCAAAAAATTTGCAACGAATCTATAGTGATTTTTTCCGTAGTCCAAATTGCCGACTTCCACCATTCAAAATCTGACATGAAGAAATTAAACTAGACTACAGCTCGCAAAAGAAATTGTACTTTAATAGTGCTGCGCCACTAAAACTCGGTTTCTCTGTATCATCGTGATCGTTTTCAATAGCTGATTGAAATCCAGCAGCTTTCCGCAAACCGAACCGTGGTTTTTCGAAAGGTCCTGAATATAAATGATCAGATTGAAAAATCCCACTTTTTTAAAAATTTTTGAATGATATATTTAGCAAATGAAACCTTCTCCAGCGTCATAGTAATGCAGCAGCTTTTGCAGCGACAATATTTGCTCCATCTTCAATTAGCTGCTCATCCACATTTATCAAAAAGTTGCAAAAATTTGATCATGTTGGAGAGCTGAGATAATTCCCGCATTTGTTAGCAATTTCCCAAGTTCATAATCGTCCTGAAACAGTCACTTATATTGCATATTAGCATCAATGCAGCACGCTCCTGGACTTGAGCATATAATCCAACTTTTTCAATCTTTCTTGCGGAACAGTAAAGAACAATATAGTTAGCCATTATGCGTTGAAAGCTCAATTATACTAAAATTTCTATGGCAGATCGCCTGAAGTGCCTGAAGGACAGAAGAGAGAGAGGGGAAAGAGAGCGAGGAGGGAGAAAGAGGGAGAGGGGAGAGGTAAAGAAGACAGGAGAGGGAGGAGAAGAGGGGAGAGAGGACAGGAGGGAGAATGGAATATCGCAATAGTTATATTGAAAAGATTTAAGCAATTCATTGTTTTTGTTTTAAAAAAAAAGAAAACCATATCATTTCATTCTGTTCAATTTTATCCTCCACCACTATCACTCATTTACTATCGAAACAAAACAAAAAAAATCTTTTCTCCAATTGAGGATTTGACAAATCTCAACTCTTACACTTTTCCTGTCTGTTTGGTAATATTTCTTAAAATAAAAACAAATTTCGAAATGAATGAGAAAGTTTGATAAATTAAATTACCAAATTATCAAAATTATCAAAAATCTATTAAATTACCAAATTATCAAATCACTATTAAACATATAAATGATATTTCCATTTTCGCTTCTGATGAACTCAATTGGTGCTACTGGCACTAAACAAGTATTATCACATTAATGGTGTAAAAAGGTTTATTTTTGCATAAGTTCGTCATGCTCTACCTGCAAAGCGAGAAGTAAGTCATAGAAGGTTCTGGATTTTTGATCTGGTCAGTTTTTGATATCTTTCACTGTTTGCTGCCAGTATTGCAAACATGCTTCCTTGGAGAACGGTGAGCTGAGTTTTCCGCTCTCCTCTCCTTCTCCTCTCCCCTTTCTCCCTCCTTTTCTCTCTCCCTCCTCTTTTCCTCTCTCCTCCCTCCTGCCGTCCCCTTCCCTCCTCTCCCTCCTGTCCTCTCTCCCTCTTCTTCCTGCCAACTTCTTTTTCATACCTTTGCTTTACGTTTTTCTATTCAAAAGTAGCAAATAATAGTGAGGATAAATCCGACAAACTGCGTGATGGAACTTTGGCACTTAACATAGGAAAACTAACATTCTCTTAAGTATATTTTAATTTTAGTAGAAGATGGAAGAGAGGAGAGGAGAGAAGAGGAGAGGGAGATAAGAGGAGAGGGAGAGGGGAGAGGAGAGGGGAGCGGAGGAGGAGAGGAGAGCGGAAAATTCAGCTCACCGTTCTTCAAGGAAGTATGTTTGCAATACTGGCAGCAAACAATGAAAGATATCAAAAACTGACCGGATCAAAAATCCAGAACCTTCTATGACTTACTTCTCGCTTTGCAGGTAGAGTATAACGAACTTATGCAAAAATAAACCTTTTTACACCATTAATGTGATAATACTTGTTTAGTGCCAGTAGCACTAATTGAGTTTATCAGAAGCGAAAATGGAAATATCATTTATATGCTTAATAGTGATTTGATAATATAATAACAAGTATTATCACACTAATGGTGTAAAAAGGTTTCTTTTTGCATAAGTTCGTTATACTCTACCTGCAAAGCGAGAAGTAAGTCATAGAAGGTTCTGGATTTTTGATCCGGTCAGTTTTTGATATCTTTCATTGTTTGCTGCCAGTATTGAAAACATACTTCCTTGAAGAACGGTGAGCTGAATTTTCCGCTCTCCTCTCCTCCTCCGCTCCCCTCTCCTCTCCCCTCTCCCTCTCCTCTTATCTCCCTCTCCTCTTCTCTCCTCTCCTCTCTTCCATCTTCTACTAAAATTAAAATATACTTAAGAGAATGTTAGTTTTCCTATGTTAAGTGCCAAAGTTCCATCACGCAGTTTGTCGGATTTATCCTCACTATTATTTGCTACTTTTGAATAGAAAAACGTAAAGCAAAGGTATGAAAAAGAAGTTGGCAGGAAGAAGAGGGAGAGAGGACAGGAGGGAGAGGAGGGAAAGGGACGCAGGAGGGAGGAGAGAGGAAAAGAGGAGGGAGAGAGAAAAGGAGGGAGAAAGGGGAGAGGAGAGCGGAAAACTCAGCTCACCGTTCTCCAAGGAAGCATGTTTGCAATATTGGCAGCAAACAATGAAAGATATCAAAAACTGACCAGATCAAAAATCCAGAACCTTCTATGACTTACTTCTCGCTTTGCAGGTAGAGCATAACGAACTCATGCAAAAATAAACTATAAAATTCTGCAATCCTTCTGGATTTGCATTCTGTGACACTCCGGTTTCCAAGGCAGCAACATTTTCAGTAAACGTCTTTTCAACCTAGAAATGAAGAGCAAAAATATACATTATTATAAAATGAAATAGCATAGGATGAGCAAAGTCTTGAATTTATTTATATGAGTAGAAACAATAATGTTATCAGTTTAATTCGCTCACTTATTTCATTTCAAAGGGATTTGTTTAATTTAGTAGATCATTCATTAAATTGTCTCAACTACCGCTGCAAATATTAAGAAAAATCTTTTCAAAGATAGAAAAAATAGAATACGAAAATTTTACTTTATAGTAATTTCTCTTAAAATTTATTGTAATCAATTATAACAAAGAAATTTTTTTTTCATATTTTGACACTCATATAATTATATATCATATGAAGTTAAGCTAATCAGAAATTACTCAAAGAAAAAATTACTTTGTCTGTTGCACTAGGCCTTGTTCAAGCTTAGCAGCACTATATACAGCAACATTACTGCTATCAAGTGCCGCAAGATCATCCACATTTTTCCTGTCCTTACCAATTTCTTCACGATTAAAACCAAAAGTTGTTCGTCGATAGCAATCCCATTCATTTCTTCTATTATAATCTTTTTCCTGTTTACTGAAATCCATTCGAAAGAACAAAACATCAAATTGATCGTCACACACTTCTTAAAAATATAATACTTATACTGCTTAGTAAAAATTTTCTTGCAATTATACATGTAACAATTATGATAAGATAAAAGCTTCATGAAATTATCACCGTTACATATATCACAGATTAAAAATAAAACGCATAGTGATGCACTGGTAATATATTCAACAGATATCACTGTAAGAATATCTTTTTTTCTTAAAGCAACCAGTTATCATCATTCATCTTATTGACCACTGATAATTCAACAACATTTAGTTATACAATCATACCTATTAATTTCAATAATTCGTTTTGTTTTTTATTACATTTCAATTGTGCTTAAACTATAGATAGAATAATACGTATATTCCAAATGAAATAAATGTGAAACTTAATCCTAATACTGAAATTGAGTTTTGATTCGTTTCTAAAGCCTATATTAGTTATTTTTTAATTCAAACATTTAATAGCTAATTATCAGTACAACATAACCCAGTTCCAATACTACAGCATCCCAGTCACCAGGCTAACCGTACTAGGCTCATTTCGAAGAAAATGATATTTGATATGAATTAGCAATATATTATCACTTTTTTCTCCGCCCTCTTTCATACGTGCTTGATATTTCGTGACATTCTTCTCGATTGTCCCTTCTTAATCAGTGCTATTCTCACTTCATCAATCTCTCTTTCCAGTATGCATCTTCTTAAATTTCCTCACTATCTAATACAAAGTTAGCGAATCGCCTCAGTTCCTCCATTGTACTCATACGGAACATCCAGTAAACTGAAAACTTAAGCCGTGCGTTGCTTACGTTTTTACTCGGTGACGTGTGCGTGTGTTGCACGTGTACTGTATGGGAATGTAATAAACAAGTTCAGTTTTCAGGATGGGGTCGCCATTACGGAGTTTAAATGACTATTTCAGAAAGCTCAATGATTTATTGTCAGCTGAAAATTGGGAACTATCTGAAGAAGCTGCGAAATTACTTTCCATAAGTGACTCTCATGTACATATGAAATTTCTGCAGGTGAACTTTTCAATGCCATACTTAAATCTTTCTAGCGACACTACTGATAAAGATTACTCTCATGAAACTAAAGTTAAATTTTATGACAGGTGAAGTAGTATTATGGTAGTGAATATTCTCTTTAATTAAATTGTGGTAGAATTTGAAATAAACTGCAGTGTATGATTGATCAGTCATACTCTAAGGATTATTTTTAGTTAGAGAAAGCAGAAGATGAACGTCGATTGTATCTGAATAGCAGCTTCGATGAAATAGCATGCTTACATTTGGCTGTTATCTATCATTTGAGTAAAGAACACTTCGAAAATGCCTTCAACACGCATGTTCAGGTTGACTTAGATTCTTTTTTCTCCTTATTCTTCAGCATTTTTAATTCCTTGATGATTAAAATTTTTGAAGGAAAAGAGTAACGTTTTATAGTCTTCTGAATATCTCCAAAAAATCTCCCTCATTTATGCATATTGTTTTTTTTTTTATGATTTGACCGATATAAAATTGTAAATTATTGCAGAAAACGTAAGATAAAAACTTACAATTGTTTGTTTTTTTCTGCAGGTTATACAATTATTCAACAAAGAAATTTTGCAAAAGGAGAAGGATCAGAACTGGTTTTTACCAATATTATATACTCTCTGCACGGATTTGCGACTTTTGGCTCGTTCGGTATGTTCAAAGCTTGCATTTCATATTGAACAAACATGTCATTAAGTTACCGGTATTGGAATTGCGAAGATTTAGGCTGACAATAAACCATCTCGGTTGCGTGATCCGGAAAAGAGTAGCTGCTATGAACAATCTGCCACCTATATTATGGAATGCTATCGAACATGTGTTGCTGATGTGTGAGTCTCTTTTAATTCTTATTTTTCATTTCGCTATCATTTTTTAAATGATGGTCAGCGTAATGAATCTGGGAAAATAAGCACTCGAAATATATTTAAAAATATAATATAATATATATATCTTAAATCTGCCATCGTACGAGTTTAGCATACACTATATATATATATATATATATTAAATCTGCCATCGTACGAGTTTAGCATACACACCTCCCTAGAAGCCCTTGGAATCCACTTCACAATGTCCAGTTCACGAAAAAAAGAAGCAATATATATATAACGTGCAATTAATTTATTCAAATGAGTCCTTTAACTAGTGTGGAATTGAACACTTGTCCAAATCATTTTTTGAAGGAATTGTTTTCGAAGTTTTCCATCAAATTGTTAATTCCAGAAGGGCAGAAATTCATACATCAAAGAAGATGGCAATGCTTAATCTCACTAATCAACTGTTCCGGATTTATTTCAGAGTATGTCCAATCTGTTTTTGTTTCTTTCGGAACTAGTTGAATCTTGTTTGATTTCTTGCCTGCATTATCAAATCACTTTATGTCTCTATGCGCGTCAAACGCTATACATTGATGTTGAATAGAATTGAGGGTGCAGACTGCAAACTATTATTTTAATTCGTTCGATTTAAAAGAAACATTTTATTTAGTTAAATATTTTTTTAGATAAACAAATTGAATCTACTTAAACCACTTATTAGAGCAATTGACAACAGTGGTCCATTATATCAGACATTTTCAATGGCTGATAAAGTTACGTATAAGTATTATTTGGGACGGAAAGCAATGTTTGATTCAGATTTATCAATATGTATGTGGTTTTTTTTTATTTTTTATTTTTTTGCTTTGCTTTAGTGGTAAGAAAAAAATAAATTCGGAAAGCATGAATGCATTTTTCTGGTTTTAAATTTTGGCAAAATACGATAAAGTTTTCATGACCTACTTGATAAACTTCAAGAAAGTTGGTTACTAATTTACCGCTACCTAGCTTGCTGATTGCAGGTAAAAATACAAGTTTTGTGAAACCTAGCCTTTTGTTTTTATAGTTTCTTAAATAATTGTGATGTTCTAGCAGAAGAATCGTTGTCGTATGCTTTTCGGAACTGTCCATGTTACTGTGCAAGAAATAAAAGGCTTATATTGATTTATTTGGTGCCGGTAAAAATGTTTCTCGGACATATGCCAAGCGTTGAGTTATTAAAGCGATATCAATTGCAACAGTTTGGTGCTGTTGTTGAAAGTGTCAAGTAAGTTCTACTAGTTAACAGTAATGTTTGAATCTTTGAATACACTTTCTTCCTATTTAAACTCTTTGTTGTCTTACGAGTTTTAATCAAATTTAAGAGATGGAAATTTAAAAAAGCTCGATGAAACGTTGATGGAAAATGCGCGCTTTTTTGTCGAATGTGGAATATTTCTTATGTTGGAAAAACTGAAAATTATTGCATTTCGTAATTTGTTCAAAAAAGTGTTAGTTTGACTCTATTTTTATTTTGAATCATACTATTTACTTTAATCCAGTGCTGATAGCTATTAACTCAAATTTTTTAACTTGAGCGATTAAATGTTATAAGGGACTTGCATAATAAATTTCGTCACTTTATTAATCTCTGTGGTTTTTTTATAGTACTCGAATATATGGAACAAATCAGATCTCTTATGAGGCATTTATGTGTGCCATCCGATGGCTTGGCATTGAGGACATGGATGAAGACGAGTTAGAATGCATACTTGCAAATTTGATTGTGGAGGTGAGTTCAGTCTTTTGCACTAACTTTGCTATTATGTCAATGCCTTGAAGATTTGGTTCTTGTTTAGTGATCCCGTGATTTGAACTTTTTTATAAAAGACAGCAGCATATGGTTAATTGTTAGAAACTTTTGGAAGAATCGATTTTAATTTTTTCAAGTCGTCAGCTAAATCACTAATGTTTGTTTTATATCTTTCAGAAAAAAATCAAAGGATATCTCAGTCATATGCATAAGAAACTGGTTATTAGCAAACAGAATCCGTTTCCTGCTTTGTCAACCATATCCTAATTATAATTCGATACAAAATTAACAATTTTGAGAAACTGATTGCCGAATTTGGATATTTTTTTCCAAGAAATTAAATTCAACGATTCCTTCTTTTCATAATCTTCTAATCGAATAAAAAAAAAACTGCATTAAAACTAAAAACTTGTAGTGGGAAGAATTTGAAATTGTATTGTAAATGTATTTAGCTTTATGAGCTAAAAATTGCGAGATGTGTTCCGTTAAGAATTCAGTTTTCATTGTTACTCATGTTCTTGTTTCGTTCTTGTAATTTGAAATAGTCTAGAAATTGCCAAAGTTTTGAGTTCTGTTTTGTCTGTTGTTGTACTGAATGAGATTTGATTTTTTATTGTCGCAGGTTGAATATCGAAGTTGTTGACTGATTTGTTTAAATTACTCTAATTTTCTGTATTATAAACATTTCAGCTTGTTTTGTAATAATATTATTATGGATTTGTGGTTTAAAGTTTTGATTTTAAAATTTTTACAGTTTTAAAGTTTTTTTAAATGTTGATGCTTTCGTCCTTTACTATAATTATGCATCTCAGCTTCATCTTAAGTTTAGTTACGTTAATTTCACTAACATTTTGATGTGTTTAGTATGGAATAATTTAACAGCTTTGATATTTTCATTGTGAATGATAAGCAAACTTCCATGTAATATATTGTTATTCGATATGTTGTGGAATATTAAGTGACTTATTCTTTCTGAGAATTTTATTCAAGTCATCATTCCAAAATGCATTTGAGACATTCCGTCTTTTATATTGTATTAAAATATGTTTGAAAAAATTTGAGGATTATTTTTCCAAATCTTTCAATAAGATGACGGTATTCCAGTCATGTGGTGTTCTTGTCAAGCTTATCAATTCTGCAAACATCACTCTGGTATGTTTGAAATGTTCAGCAGGATCGGCAGTTGATGTAAAGTTAGTATCTGGAACTCAAAGTTAATAGAAGATTGAGTTGGGAAGTATCAGTGGACGAAAGATCAATGCCAGTGAAAATGAGTTTATTACAATCCGAACTATCGACAAAGGAGTTCAAATTTTTTTGTTTTTGTTTTGAATAGAAAAC